CCTCTTTGAACCACTTTTGCTGTATCTCATAAATTCTGGCATGTCGTATTTTCATTTTCATTTGTCTCCAGGTATTTTTTGATTTCTCCTTTGATTTCTTCGTTGACCCAATCATTGTTCAGTAGCGTTTTATTTAATGTCCACATATTTGTGGCTTTTCCAATTTTCTTCCTGTAGTTGATTTCTAGTTTCATACTGTTGTCGTCTGAAAAGATGCTTGCTATTATTTCAATATTCTTAAGTTTATGGAGACTTGTTTTGTGGCCTAATATGTGATCTGTCCTGGAGAACGTTCCATGTGCATTTGAAAAGAATGTGTATTCTTCGGTTTTTGGATGGAACGTTCTGTCTATATCTACCAAGTCCAACTGGTCTGATGTGTCATTTAAGGCCAATGTTTCCTTATTGATCTTCTGTTTCGATGATCTATCCATTGGTGTAAGTGGAGTGTTAAAGTCCTCTGCTATTATTCTGTTGCTGTCTATTTCTCTTTTTACGTCTGTTAATAATTGCTTTCTATATTTAGGTGCTCCTATGTTGGATGCATAAATATTTATGAGTGTTATATCCTCTTGTTGGATTGTTTCCTTTATCATTATGTAGTGCCCTTCTTTGTCACTTGTTACAGTTTTTGTTTTAAAGTCTATTTTGTCTGAGATAAGTATTGCTACTCCAGCTTTCTTTTCATTGCCATTTGCATGGAGTATCTTTTTCCATCCCTTCACTTTCAGTTTGTGAGTGTCTTTAGGTCTGAAGTGTGTCTCTTGTATGCAGCATATATATGGTTCTTGTTTTTTTTATTCAATTGGCCACCCTATGCCTTTTGATTGGAGCATTTAGTCCATTGACATTTAAAGTAGCTATTGATAAGAATGTACTTATTGCCATTTTATTCGTTGTTTTCTGGGTGTTTTAGTAGTTCTTCTCTGTTCCTTTCTTCTTCTCTTGCTCTCTTCCCTTGTGGTTTAATGGCTTTCTTTAGTATTATGTTTGGGTTCCTCTCTCTTAATTTTTTGAGTATTTATTATAGGTTTCTGGTTTGTGATTGCCATGAGGTTCATATATAATAACCTATGTATATAGCAAACTATATTAAGTTGATTGTCTCTTTAGTTTGAACTCTTTCTAAAAGCTCTACGCTTTTACTCCCCTCCTCCAACATTTTATGTTTTTGATATCATGTCTAACCTGTTTTTTTTTTGTGGGTGTGTATCCGTTACCCTCTTATCATGGAAATAGATAATTTTAGTACTTTTCTCTTTTGACCTTCATATTAGCTTCATAGGTGGTTGATATGCTACCTTTATTGTATATTTACCTTTACCAGTGATTTTATTGCTTTTTTTTTTTGATAATTTTTTTGTTCCTATTTGTAGTCTTCTCTTTTCCACTTAAATAAGTCCCTATAGCATTTCTTGTAAAGCTGGCTTCTTGGTGATAAACTCCTTTAGTTTTTGCTTGTCTGGAAAACTCTCTATCTTTCCTTCCACTCTGAGTGATAACCTTGCCAGGTAGAGTATTCTTGGGTGTAGGTTTTTTCCTTTCAGCACTTTAAATATATCGTGCCACTCCCTTCTAACCTGTAAAGTTTCTGCTGAGAAGTCAGCTGATAGCCATATGGGGTTTCCCTTGTATGTAACTTGTTGTCTTTCTCTTGCAGATTTTAGGATTCTCTCTTTATCTTTAATTGTTGACATTTTAATTATAATGTGTCTTGGTGTGGGCCTCTTTGGGTTTATCTTGTTTAGTGCTCTCTGTGCTTCCTGTACCTGGATGTCTGTTTCCTTCCTTAGGTTAGGAAACTTTTCAGCTATTATTTCTTCAAATATATTCTCTGCCCCTTTGTCTCTCTCTTCTCCTTCTGGGATGCCTATAATACAGATGTTAGTGTGCTTGATGTTGTCCCAGAGGTCCCTTAGACTGTCCTTGTTCTTTTTAATTCTTTTTTCTTTTGTCTTCAGCTTGGGTGATTTCCTCTAGTCTTTCATCCAGCTCGCTGATCCGTTCTTCTGTATCCTCTACTCTGCTTTTGAGTCCCTCTAGTGAATTTTTCATTTCCAGTATTCTTCATTTCTGATTGGTTCTTTTTTGTATTTTCCAATTCTTTGTTGAAGTTCTCACTGAGTTCATCCATTCTTCTCTCAAGATCAGTGAGCATCCTTATGAGTCTTTGTTTGAACTCTTGGTCAGGTAGATTGTTTATTTCTGTTTCGTTTAGTTATTTTTCTGGGGTTTTGTCCTGTTCCCTTACTTGGAACGTATTCCTTTGTCTCCTTATTTTGCCTTGTTCTCTGTGCTTATATCTATTTATTAGGTAAGTCAGCTATGTCTCCCAATTTTGGAGAGGTGGCCTTATGTAAGAGATGCCTTATGAGGCCCAGCAGTGTGCTTCCCTCTCATCAGCAGTTCTGAATGTTCCAGGAGTATCCCCTGTGTGGGCTATGTGTGTTCTTCTGTTATGGCAGGGATGCTCTTGCTGCAGATTCCCAGGGAGGCTAGGCTGTCCCCCTGGCTATCTAGTTGTAATGCTCAACTGTGTGTGGCTGCTATGGTCCTTTCAGTCACTTTGTCAGGCATGGGGAGTCCCAGCACAGTTGGCTGCAAGGTCTAATAGCACATTCCTGTTGCAGTTTTTCTGTTAAGTGCATAGTCCCCCAGTGTGGTTAGTTTCTAGGCTCAGGGGCTTACAATTGGTGCAGGCCTCTGGCCTGCAGGGTGTTGTCAGTTCTCTCAGAGTTGCAGCTGGGTGGGGCTGGCCCCAGGCATGGGAGCACCCAATTGTTTCAGGCTTTGGAAGGTGGGGCCAATCCCCTATGTGGCTGTTTGAGAAGCACAAGTCTGCTGCAGCTGACAGGCCCCAGCACCTGCAGGGCCACACACTCTGTCAACACAGTCCTGCCCGTGCACGTGCCCTGACCCACTGAAATGGACTCAGTTGCCCCCCGCAGACCCAGTTGGCCCCACACACTCCACTGATGCAGGCCCACCCCTCGTGCATGCCTGCCCTGCAAAGGTGGACCCACTCACCCAGTTGCAGAGGATCCAGGCACCCTGCCTATGTGGGCCAAGTTGCCTGAGGGTTTGCTGTTGGGTGAGGCCAGTCCCTAGGGCGAGCTGCCTGCCTTGGCTGAGCTGGATTAAATCAGTGCTCTAGTGGGTGGGGCAGACCCCTACTCTTACAGGCCAGGGGAAGAACTCCAATGGCGTCTGCCAGTGTCTGTATTAGTATGCCTGTACTAGCTCGCAGTAATGGCTGCTGCCAATGTCTCAGTCCCTGGAGAGGTCTTACCTCTCACTGAGATGCACCCAGAGCCTATCAGGTGAGTCTCTTTTCACCAAAGGACTGTCCACCTTACTTTCTGGTGATTTTAGGTTGCTTTCCAAAATGGGTGAATTTGTGCATGGGCCCTTTAAGAACAGGATTTTCTCCCCCTTATGTCTGATAACTTTTCTGGGGGTATTCCCCATTGTAGTTAATAACCAGCAAAGCCAGCTATTATGACACTTGTCTTGGTTGTGCTGAATCCAAAAGCTGCTTATTGTGGTAACACTCCCCTGCTCAGATCCCCCACTCCTCCAGGGAAGGCTTCATACCTAAGGTTGCTCCTGGCTGGCCATGAAGTGTTGTGGCTAGAAGATGGCTTTTTCCTTTCCAGAAAGGAATTTCTACATCTTCCCCTCATCTTCCCCTCAGTCAGCACTGTCCCTTGTTGTGGGGGTTCTTTTTATCCAGTTTTCAGTTCTCTCTTAGATGTAGTTGTTCCAAGAGTAGTTGTAAATTCATTGTGTCCATGGGAGGAGATGAGTTCAGAGTCTGCCTATGCTGCCATCTTGACCCCATCCCTCCCCAACTTCTTAATGGACTTCCTGGGTCTCAGACCATGTACTTCTGTTTTCTACACTATCTGTACTCACTCCCTTGGTGTTCTCACCCAGTCTCATGGCTTAAACAGCATCCACATGTTGATGACTCCCAAGTCATCACATATCTAGCCCAGATCTCTCTTTCAAACTCTAGATTCAGATATCCACTTGCCTTTTTTACTTCTTTTCTTGGATATATAATGGGTATCTCAAACTCAATATATCCAAAATCCATCTCCTAATCTCCCTCCTCTCAATTTCTCCTCCTTCATTCTTCCACATCTCATTTACTGGCAACTCCATCCTTTCTGTTGCTCAGGAAAAAACCTTAGAGGGATCTTTGACTCCTCTCTTTTCTCTTTCATTCCATATAGAATCCATTAGAACATCTGCCAAGCTCTACCTTCAAAACATAGCCATAATCTGATCACTCCTCACTGCTTCCTCATCTACCATCCTGGCCTAGACTCTCTTAGGTTACAGGAATAGTTCTGATGGTGTTGAATGGCCTGAATGCCAAAGAGGCTTTTTCTCACATCTGGGAGTTATCTGGAAGCCTCCCCAAGTCTCACACGTAGATTTTATCATTTCAGAGTCATCCTTATGCTGTTAGATTTGCCATCTCTACTTGGTCTTCTTAAATACGTACATTTTCTGGGAGGAATAAAAATTTTTATTTACTAGTGTGTATATATATGTCACCTTGTCCCCAAAGTATTTAAGGTAGATTATAAAAGTACATAAAATACATAATGATATAGAAAAATAAGTGAGAAAATGAGGCAAAGAGAAAATAAGGTTAGGAAAAATTTAGACGAAGCCACAGGTGAGGTGAGCCTATAAATGCATGCCATGAGGCCCTCACACCTGCTAGATGGACCTAGGTATGCTTTAATATAAGATTTCTTTCTGTTTGATGGGCTCCCAAGAGTCATCCTCAACATAGTGGCTCCTTGGGCTTGAGAGGGCAAGGGCTGTCTTGGGAAGGAAAGGCTCAGAAAGGGAAGTGGGGGGATGTGGTCAGGAAGTCCCTTCTCACCTGACACTGGGTCCTGACGTGCACCCCACTCACTCCCTGGTATCTTCCCCAATCTCCACCTCCCACCCCGCCCCCACATGATACCCCAAGTACTTACCAAGACCCAAGCAAGAAACTCTGAGTCCTGATTTTCCAAGATTCCTGGAATAAAAATAAAGCAAGAAATGGTCATCCTTTCTCCAGTTGAAACTCTGCAGACGTCACTATGAATATTACATCTTACTTTCGATGACACTGTTCTTAACTAGCATCATGGCAGAAGCAGGGCCCCCACTGCAGGCTGTGGTCTTGGGAAGAGTCTCTTTTTCATCTCCATTAGGCACTAGGAAGCCCAAAATATGCTCAGGCTCAGCACAAAAACATGTCCCCCACCCCAAAACACAGCTTTTCAGCCCCAAATGATCTTTATTCATTTGTTTACAAATTTACTGTCTCTCTCCTTCTGGCCTATGAGTTCCTTGAGGGAAAGAGCTGTGTCTTATTCACAACCAGTCCTCATTATTCATTCATTATTCACCAACAGAGCCTGACACACAGTGGACACTTCATAAGTATTTGTTGGCTGAGTAACTGACAAACTGACTTCTAAAATAGAATATTATTACAAATGGATGGGGACTATTAAAAGAACAAATACAAAATGATCCTTTAGGTTATTTAAATTATATTATTTTTTATAAAAGTCCACACAAAATTGCTACAAGAAGTTCAGATAATTCTTTTTAAATGATTCTTCTTTTCTTCATCAACACCTTTGCTTTTCATCCCCAAAGGTTTATCAGGGAAAGGAAATATATTTTAACTCTCTAAATAGGGAGAGAATTAGACATTCCAGTCTTCACTGTAAGGTGTTTGTCCATGGAGACCCAGATCCAACCCATCTTTCTGTCATCTGCCTAACTGTCATCAGAGAAGAAATCAAGTTCTCAGAGAGAGGAGCCTCATAGAATTTTGTAGGAGTCCAACGTGAGAAGGCAAAGCTGCAATAATTGAGACGTGGTAGAAAAGTGCTTCCCTTACTCTGATCAGATGCTCTTACAAGGACACAGTTTTCCTCCCGGCTTCTACCCCAAACAAAACAGCACAAACCACCTTCTCCAACTGCAGCACAGCTCAGCTCCTCCAGGTCCTCCCTCCATCTTCCTCAGCTTGGCTTCTTTAGAAGTTAGCAATTAGTGCTCTCATCTTTGCATTTATTTCTTTTCTCTGCTTATTATTATTATCTATAAGATGCCACCTAAGCAACATGTTTAATTTCATGCATCGTCAAAGCACAGCACATTGCAAAGATTTCAAAGACCCAGGTTTCTGTCCCATTGTCACAACTTCCCAGGCAACCTCGTAGAAATCACTTCCTTCCTCCTGGGTTCAATCTCTTCATTAGTAAGATGGGATATTAATGCCTGTGCCATTCATCTAGCATTACTGTTGTGGGGCCAGAACGTGATAACGTATGCTAAAATGTTGCACAGTAAACAAGTGCAAGGTATAATTATTTTTGGTGCGTTCTAACTCTGCTCACCCTCTCACAGATGTAATGCTATATGAATTGGATATGACTGCCTGGAAGGAAACTCTTGCATAAAGGTGTGTGAGAAAAATATTTTGAACTACTAAATAGGAAAAAAATAATTAGACCTCTCCAATAAAAGTAATTTGCATAAGAAATTGTTCTTTTAGTAGTTTCTCAGAAAACCACAGGATGTTCAACCAGAAGACCTTTCTTTGTAGTCTAAAAGTCTACTTATTTTAAAGGATAGGAATCTAGAGCAAAAGTTACATAGTAGGGAGAATAAAAAAAGACTACACCAAAACAAAAAAAGAAAAATACTATATATATATGAATAACAGTGTTCCTGGTAGAGATATTCAACACTGGTGAATCAGTAAAGATTTATTGAGAGGTCAACATACTCCAGGCAATGTCCAAGGCCATGGGGACACAGAGAGGAACAAGGACCAGTTCTCTACCATCAAGGGGTTCTCTATCTTCTACCTTTCCTGAGGGACACAGAAAAGCAAGTGTGTAATTACAATAGAGTGGAGTGTGTCTTACCGTGAGGCCTTTTGGAGCAATGGGGTACGGCCTATATCAGGCTTGTATTTGCATAAGTATGTGGGTGTCCTGGGGAAAAGATCTAGGTAAGATTTTCATGTAATTTTAATATCTTTCAGTAATTCGGAGAACAACAGGGAGGAGAGACTCAGTGCAGAAGACTATGCAGAGCAAGACATTTTTTCTAACAAACTGAAATAGGGCAAGGTTATGTCCCTGGGGACTTACTGAGCAACATCTCAGCACCCGAGGTGGGGAGACCTATCTTATTTTCCTCATGACCGTGACTTAGGAGGATAATGGTCACTCTGCTAAGGGTTTGGAAGACCAAACTTGAAAAACTTGCGAATTGTCAGCAAAAACAAACTGCAAAGTAACAAGTAGTAAACATAGCCCATTTTCTTGCCACTGCTATTTAAACATCCAGCCCAGCTTTTCTGGAATGTAAGCCTTAGAAGATTTAGAAAAGCTGTAAGAAAAGTTCAATTACAGACAAGTATTGATTCAGTGGTGATAGGTCCCACATTGAGCCTTGGTGTTTTTATTTCCTTTAACTCTTTCTCTAAATATCTTCATTCTCTAGAAGGAACGGCCACCAAATTCAGGTGGTTGTTTTTAAAGTGAGAGGCACTTTCTGTGCATGAGTGCTATGTGGTCTCTGAAGTCCGTGGCCCTCACTTTGTACAGGAGTGAGTCTTTTTGTGAAGCTCCTACCTCATAAAGCACCTTTGATGCATGATGATGCCAATCACTTTGCAGATGGAGAAGGTAAGAGGAACGAGCTCCCTTCATTCAGAGCATGGAATTCCAGCACAATGTCACGATTCCAAATAGTGCATCTGCATCCCGCCTATGTCCAAGTCTGCACAACACTAAGTGGGGATGTGGCAATTGTCCAGCTACTCGGATCCATTTAAGCTCTGCTGGATAATAGGAGCCCAAATACTGGATGCATTTGATCTAATGAGTCCAAAATACATCATACAAAAGCTCGTTCATGTAGCTATAATACCAAATAATGGCCCAGTTTACACATCAGGCTGGGCTATAACAGATGTCCTGGAACCTTCTTTATCCCACTCATATGGAATTTTCATGAACACTTCATGATCTTGTATGACATTGTGATTCAAAACACTTTATATAATTTCACTTAATTTCTTAATTTCTCAGCATTCACACAAGTTAGGCTACATAAATTTCTGTAAGAACATCAAATTTCCAATTAGATTCCTTTCCTATTTGATTCAAAATAGTTGCATTGCACTGGTTTACCTATTTGTGTCACATATGCCAGAAGGAAGTATCACTGTGTTCATTTTTAGTATCTGCTCCTGTTCAACTCAAAATAAAAGCTTCTCTTTCCCAGGTGAACATGAGCTGCTCTGCTGCTAATATTAGAAATGAATGACATCAATACGGGGGCACAGAAACTTAGCTTTGTCAGTCAAATTTTGGAAATCCTAAATCTTAAAGCTTCAGTAAAGTTATCTGGAGAAGGGATATAGTTTCTTGAGAAGTCAAAGATTGAGTTTCTCCTTTCTTTCTGAAGGCAGGACTGTCCCCTCAGTGAATACATGACTCAAGTTATTTTAGGACAATGGTTAGTTCCATGCAGAGGCATTAAATATAATTCCTAGTGTCATTTTGTGGAGCATCCATCAGGCTCTTTTTGATTTTAAGTCAATAATAGAGTGGTGAGGACTGAAACCAAGCATCACTTAGGCACAGTCTTACCTGCCACTTGATGCTTACAGGTCCTTTACAAATCAAAGATGCTAAAAGCAGATCAGCACAAACGTGTTGTTTTAATTGCTCACTTCTGAATATGTGTATCTTAGATATTATTCACAGTTGTAAACTGCTTGGAAGAGAGGAATAGCGAGCTAAAATATGTACTTTGCATTTGACCAAGAAACAAGCACATTGCATGAGACAAAATCTCTTATTTAAAGGTTGACACAAGAGGGATGAACTGAAACATATGTAAGGGGCTGTGGTGGCCGTGTCAGGCTGGCAGAAACAAGTTTGATTTGACCTGCTTTTCACGTGCTCAGATCATTACATTATCTGCTGCCTCACTCTATTTGAACATCTTTCTGGTCCCTCCCAATCACACCCTGCTGGTGTGGTGCCTTACTTGGGAGTTATAGTCAAATCTGGAGTATGGGATTTTTTTAAAAAGAGAAATATACATTTAACCTTTCTTGAAAAATCCAGAGCAGAAGGCATGTTCATTTGTCAGACTGCTGGTTGTGATGGTTGCATGAGAACATCCATTTTGACAGGCATGAAGGTGACTACAAATGTAATGATGTTTTTTTTATGAGAGCACTGTTCATCACTGTTGATAAGTGAGTAATGACTCATTTGGAAACCACCAGGCACATAAGTGATTTAGCCATGCGTTTTGATGACAGACATTGACAAGTAGCACAAAGAAACTTTGTTTCATTCATTTAAGTAACAACAAAGTAGAAAGATTCTTTCCCATTCGATTCTTTGATTTAAAGGTTTAAGTCATTTGTCATTTGTAAATTCCAACTAGGTTCTTATTCATTTTCGTTGGACATATAAAATTACCTCTTATCTGTATCATTCTAGAAAAGTCTAGAGAAGTATGGCAAAAAGAGACTTCCTGTAATTAATTAGTTAGTTCAATAGAGATGTACCGAGTTTCAACCATATACCAGGTGTTGTATTAGGGTGTGGGGATGGGCTGAGTAGCAGGCAGTTGCTGTTCTCATGGAGCTTACAGCATCGAAGGCAAAACACATGTTAAATAGTGTGTTAATTTTTTGATTATAATACTAAATAAAAGAACACTATGCCTAACTGTAAAATTGGCGTGTTGGGGAAGCTGACCTGATCTGGATGGTTAGGAAAAGCTTCTCTAGGGAAGCAGCACTTAAATTGAGATCCAAAGGAGGAGTAGGAAGTTCATGGAAACAGGGTGATGAGCATTCCCAGCAGAGTGAACAGCAGGTGCAGAGGCTCAGAGGCTGGCAGAAGCACAGGTGGTTGCAGACCTGAAGAAGTAGAGGGAGTGGAAGAGCCAAGAGCAGAGCGACTCCAGCTGAGTCTG